TTTTAAATGATTTTTTCTTGAAGACTATTATGTATTTGAAAGCCTGATTAATGGTGTCATCAACAAAAGTAGGCAGAGAGAAACATTACATTTTCTAGTTTACTGTCCAAATGCCTGCAATAGCTGGAACTAAGCACTGCTGAAGTCGGGCCTTAGGAACTCACACTGGGTCCCCTACACAGGTGGCAGAGGCCAAAGTAACTGAGCCTCCACGTGATGTCCCCAAGGTTTATATTAGCAGTCAGCTATAATCAGAAGCACAGTTGCAACTCAAAACCAGACACTCCCAAAAGATGTCTTAACTCTCCTGATATCATTTGAACAACTGATGTTTGCCTTTGATGCCTGTTCACATGGAATGATTTTTTTTTTCATTTTTTTATCTTTAAATCAGTGCTTGTGTCTTTACTGATGAACTGCTTCTTTCAGGCAGGATCATTTCAAGTCTTGCTTTACTACCCAGCAGTCTGTGTATTTTAATTGGGATATTTAATCCATTTATATTCAGGGATTCTAGTAAAAAATGGCTTGCTCCTTTCATTTTGTTTGTTTAAAATTTTTTCTGCTTTGAATACCATTTGTTTTTTCTTTTAATATTTTCATGGAGGTATTGTTCTTTGTTCTTGTATGGAAGACATCCTTGTATATCCTTAATAAGGCTGGTCTGGTGGTGATGAATCACTGTAAGGATTTTTTTTTTTTCTTACCCTGGGAAGCCTTTATTTTACCTTTGAAAATGAAAAATTTGGGGCCCGGCACAATAGCTTAGTGGCTAAAGTCCTCACCTTGCATGTGCCAGAATCCTATATGAGCTTAGGGTTGTATCCCAGCTGCTCCACTTCCCATCCAGCTCCTACTGTGGCCTGAGAAAACAGTAAAGAATGGCCTAAAGCCTTGGGACCCTGTATCCATGTGAGAGACCTGGAAGGAGCTCTTGGCTCCTGGCTTCTGTGTTTGGATGGGCTCAGTTCTGACCATATGGCCACTTGGGAAGTGAACCAGTGGGTGGAAGATCTTCCTCTCTGCTCCTTCTTTCTCTAATTCTGAGTTCCCAATGAAAAAATGAATCTTGAAAAGAAAGGAAAAGAAAAGAAAAGGAAAATTCAGGCTGGGTGTGATAGCCTAGTGGTTAAATCCTCACCTTATATGCGTTTGGATCCATATGGCTGCCGTTCCATGTTCCAGCTGCTCCACTTCCCATCCAGCTCCCTGTTTGTGACCTGGGAAAGCAGCAGAGGACAGCCCAAAGCCTTGGGACCCTGCACCTGTGTGGAAGACCTGGAAAAAGCTCCTGGTTCCTGGCTTCAGATAGGCTCAGCTCCAGACCTTGGGGCCACTTGAGGAGTGAACTGGCAGACGAAGAATCTTTCTGTCTCTCCTTCTCTCTACCAATCGGTGTTTCCAAGAAAAATAAGTAAATCTTATTTTAAAAAAGAAACGATTAAGAAGATAAAGTATTCTTCACTGGTGGCTCTTTTATTCCATTGCATATCTTCCTGGTTTGCAGTATGCTTTTGAAAAAATCTCCTGTTAATCTTATCGGAGGGATGTCCCTGAAGGCTATGTTAGGGTTTTGCTCTAGTAATTCTAGAATTCTCTCTTTGTGTTATAATTTTGAGAGCTTCACCATAATGTGTTGTGGTGGGAATTTTGTCCCATAATCTCCATTTGGGAATCTTTGAATCTCCTGATTTGGGCAGCTTGAGGCTATCATTTTGTTATATTTTCATTGCTCTTGCTCTCTTCTTCATCAGTAGTTTCTGTTATTAGCTCATTAAATGCTGTTCCAATGATCTTGGTGACCATCTTCATTCTTGATCATTTTATTTCTGTTTTTTTGCTCTGTGTATTTTAATAGCTCTGTCTTTGGGTTCAGATATTCTCTTTTCCATTTGATAAAGTCTGTTGAGTTTTCAACTGTATGTGATGTTTGACATAGAATTGACTCTATAAAACTTGCTAGGTTTTTTTTCTTTTCAACATCTGTATTTTCTTCTAAATTTCTCACACACAATTTGACCTCCTAGTTTTAATTGTCTAACTTTGCTCTCTTGTATCTATTTAAGTATTTTAATGATCATTTTTGGAATTCTTTATCAAAGAGGTAGCAGTCACTCTTTCCGTAGTAGATCGTAATGGTGTCTGTTCCTATCACATTAGGCTGTTTAAACACATTAGTAGCTGCACATATTCAGTACACATATTAAGATGTTGCATAAAATGTCTGTAGCCAGTAGTGCAGCATGAGAATTCATGTTCTAGCTCCACTTCCATTACTGGCTTCCTGCTAATATGCACTCTGGGTGATAGTAAATGGTATCTTAAGTAATTTTCCCCTGCTATTTATGTGGAAAACCCAGAGTAAGTTCCCAGTACTGAATCTGACCTGGCCAACACTGGCAATTTTGGGCATTTGGCAAGTGAACAAGATGGGAGATATCTGTTTGTCTCCCACTTTCTCTCTTGCTCCTTGCAACTTAGCCTCCCTTCATGTGTGCATGTATGTGCCTTACAAATAAGGTGAATAAATTTTTAGCGTATTAAATGTGTGATTCATTTTCCCAAATAAATGGTTAATTTTAAATGTAGTTTAAAGTAGCTCATATTACTTTTTTAAATAAGAAAAAAGGTTTATTCTGTTTAAATGCGTTTTTAGTAGTTAAATCTGAAGTATTTTTCTTCTCCAGACTGGAGGATATTTCCAGACAGGAAAAGATTCTAGATATATTTTGCTAAATATACTATATCTTATATATATCTCATATATATGTTATATATATATCTTATACTATATAGTAGAAACAGTGTTAGCAATGTTATTTTAACTAATCCTCACAGTAACACATGAATTGAATAATATCGAACCTATTTTGATGACAAAAATGAGGTTTTCGAGATTAGGAAATATGTCGGAAGTCACACAGTTAATCTGAATGTTAGGGTCATTGGAATGCAAGCAAGGTAGCAGGCTGTGCTAGGACACAGAAAGTCCTGGAAATGGTGTGTTCGTTGAGAGTCTGAGCAATAGCTGCACAGCCAAAGCCACTTTCTTCATACAGAAAAAGCTAAAATACAGGGTTTTTTGGTTGTTGTTATTTTACTCTTACTTCTGCATCTTGGCTATCAAACTATCTGACAAGCTTCATGAAAGTATGAATTCGCATTTCTTTGTTTTCTCCCATAACATTCAACCTATACTAGCCACATATCTTTCTGGTCAGTAGCAGTAGCTGAAATTCAACTTACAATGAGTTATGAACAAAAAAGAAGTAATCCCAAGCTTGACTGCATCCACACTTTCTAACAATGTCAACTTTCCCACTATTGCTAGGACAGATATTTTCAGTATAATGTATATGATATAGCCAGTGGCAGTAGCTTTAGCATAGTAACCCATTAGCATGCACTTTTAGCAAAATAACCCCTAAGCAAGTCCTCTTAGCATAGGAAATTCACTCAGAAGATTTTTTTTCCCCAATAGCTCAGGCCAGCAGGTCACAAGAAGCACTGATCGTTTCGACTTGAATGATTGCACCTATTCTTGAACCTTCTAGTGTGCCCAGTAAGAGTTCTACTCCTTGATACGAGGGTATCAATTTGGAGTCACACCAGTCAAGTGCCGTAAATAAGGAACAATTCTCAAAAGAGAGAAGTATGGATATTTTAAAAAATAAATCCACTGCTGTATGCATTGAACTTTAAAGCTCATAAGACTTGCTAGGGATTATTCTGACATGTTAATATGTCATTGAACATGACTTATTCAATACGCAGACAAAATACCTGCAGTCCAAAGAGGAGCATTTTCCCCTATGGCCATACAACTTAATAGAGTCAGAGCTGCACATTGTATCGTGTCGAGTTACCTTCAATTTTATTGGATTGGAAAGGAGGACATCCACATAAAAAAGATAATCACGGTCTTTACATGTCAATAATATCAGCTACTTCAGGGAGTTTCTTTTCTGTACTTCTGCAAAATGAAAGAACTTTCAATAGAAAGAGAATTGCTCAATAAAGAATGGCTAAGATGTTTTTAAAAGATTTTTCTCAAATCAGCTTCAATCTGATATAGGATAGCTGTAATAAAATGAATGTGATAACAAATGTTGAAAAGATAGAGAAATTGGAAATTCCATGTGCTGCTGATAGCAATTTTTTAAATGGCTCAACTGCCTATGCACAAATGTTTTATGCCAGGATTATTTATGATAAGCCAAAAATGTAAATCGCTTAAGTGTGTATCAGTTACTGCATGAATCATCAAAATGTTATACAGCTACACAAAGCAATATTATTGAACTATAAAAAGAAGTGGAGTGCTAGTACATATTACAATGTGGGAAAACACTGCAAACATGATATTGTGTGAAATAATGCATATAAGAGATTACGTACTTGTGATTCTGTTTGTGTCAAATGTCTAGAGTGATGACATCACTAGGGACAAGAAATGCATTCATGATTGGAGATTGGCAAAGAAAGGGAGATAGGAAGTGGGAGCTGCTGGGATTCATTTTGGAATGATGGAAATGATCTGAACAGGATCGTGGTAATGTTTGCATGATTTTATGAACATAGTAAAAACCACCGCAATATACGCTGCTATATATGGCTAGACAAAATTTCATTTGAAACATTAGCATGTTCTAAGTCTTAAGGTATTTGCTGAAGGTGCAGACAGGAACAGAACAGTTATGGCTACATTCCTCATGAGCTCACAACACTAAAGGGAAGATATGTTCACAAAGAGTAAGTCACATTATTCATGAGTCAAAGTTTCCCTCAGAAACAGACATGCTATCTTCATTATTTCATTTTCATCTTCAAGATATAAAAGAACAGAATGAGGGATGTTTTAATGAATGGGTTGACTGCTACCATTTAAAATGCCGTCTCTTGTCCTGGGACAGGCGGATATGTCACGCATTTTGCATGTTAAACTTGTCCTGCTGAAGAACTGGCTCCCTTCTTTCTCACTGCTCGTATTACCTACACAGGCTGTACGCAACATACACTGACCTGGGAAGAGTCTCAAGGAAGAAGAAACACATAGGCAGTTGCAATGGAAAATGGTATGTCTAAAAACCACATACTGTGGCTGCAAATGAACTCAACCATAAAAAAGAATGAAATTCTGTTTCACAACAAAATAGATGTGCTTAGAGAAATAACCTAAGCCCCAAAAGACAAGTATCCTACGTTTTCTCTGATTTGTGATAACCACTACGCAGAATACAACAAAGTGTAATGTGTGTGTGAAACTGTTATTTTGAGATTTGATTATTGTTTGTAACGTTAGCTTGTGACTATAAAGTCAATTAAAAATATGTCGCATTGGTCATTCAATAGCATGTAATTTAACATCATGTTACTGTTGATTTTCTATTTTTTCTTCCTGTTGTCTATTTTGTTTCATGGCCTTTCATTTAAAGGGATGTATAGCAACTGCTTAATAGAGACTATCATACCCAGATGTGAAGATACAATGCAATATTCATCTATACTTCCAAATCAAAGATGGACTCCCAATTAAGCTCTTAAATATGTTTGACAATAAGATGCTGGACTCTCTGCCATTGTCCAAAATAACAATTTTGGGATACACCTAGATTGCTGAAGGATGAACTTATGACTGTTTATGAAGCTCTATACTATTGTAATTGTATGGGGGAAATCAGTGTGAATGAGAGTGTGGATTTAGGGAAGGGGAGAGGGAAATCCCAGACCCCATGGAATTGCCTCATCAAATAATAAATAAAGTTTTTAAAAAGTGTCATTTCGAAAGTGAAAAAAAAATAGGAAGGAAGAGGAAAGAAAAATGAAAGTGAAGTTGGGAGGGAAAGGTGAGAAGTATCATTATGTTCTTAAACTATGTACACAAAATACATGAAATTTGTTCCTTCATATGTAAGAGAAATCAGCCATAAAAATTTACTCATTTATAATTACTTACAATCATTAGCTCAGCCAACAGAAAGCAGTTATTTGTGCCAAGAACTGCCATACAAACAGTAAGAGTTTAGAAAAATTGCATATATATCTGATATATTATTATATAATACCAAATATAAAATATATGTATGAGTATATATATTATATTTTAAATTGAATCTAATATATAGAGTAAAAATTTGAATCTGATATATCTGAGATATAGATATATATAGTATATCAATACTCAGCAGGGGGTGATGTTTATTAAAATATTTTATTCATTAACTCCAAATCATTAACTCCAAAAGTAAACAAAATAAGCATTGTCCTATTAGTATCCATGACCGGACCTTAACCTACTAGGAGCAGAAATTTATCTTTGTATCTATACTATCAAGCTTTCATGAAGATGAGTATGTGTCATCCTCAAACTTCCTTGATATAATAAAGCCACCACTTTTGAGATTGCCTTGCACATTCCTGACATATCTTTCAAAGATTCAGTTAGAACCAAGACATGACCATATTTTCTTAAAAGTCTAATGAATAAAAGAAAAAAGTGCTTTTGACCTTTGAAAATGACAGTGTTAACAGATAATGCCAGGGTTCCCTGTGTTCTGTCTCAAAATGATGGGGAGCAAGGGTGAGTTAGAAGTTGTGGATTTGTCAAAGAGAGCTAATAAACATAACATCAAAATAGGCCTCCGTGGATATAGCATTAATTCATTTGTACTATTTTGATGCTATGTAAAATTAGAGTGGCCATGGGGCTGGGTGGTGGGAGCTTCCAGTATCATGGCAGCTGCTGGGGGTACTGAACCAGGCTGGACTCAATGCTTGGAGCTCTTGTCATGGCTACCGCTGCCATGTGGTGAGTGAGTCCTCGGCTTTGGACAGCCAGCATACCAAGTGGGACCAGGCTCGACTCACTGGCTGTCCTACAGCAAGCTCTAGGGACTCAGGTGTAAGTAACTGCTTCCTAGGGATATCCATGTAAAAAGCCACTGTGTGTGTAGGTGAGGAATGAATCCTGTATGACTCGCAGCAAAGGGGTCATTGTACTTGCAGGTAAACAAGAATACCGAGACCTGGTGGTTTGGATGGGAGAGTCCAGAAGATCTGTATAGGTCAGACTTATTCACCAGCCCACAGGGGAGTCTTGAGATGGCCTGTTAGCACAGAACGTCTCAGACTGCCACACACCAGCCCACATGAAAGCTATGGCTGGGGGCAGAGCTAGATCCTAGTACCTAACTGAGAGTTGGAACAGGAAACAGGTCACATTAGGCAGGGTCATGACACTAACCAGCACCCAAGAGAACCAGGTCTAGGGGTAGATTCTGTGGGGAATAAGTGGCTCCAACTCTGTAGAAATATAAACCCCTCTGGTTAGCTCAAAAGTTGGGGTGGTGACGGACCGAGCTAGGTGTGACCATGAAAACTGCCACACTCATGGGTACAGGGACTAAGAATAGTCTGGGCAGGTCCAGGATGCAGCACCCAATTGTGCATCCTAAATTAGGGTGTGGGGTGGGCCAGGCCACAACATCCTACAGCTCATACAAAGGCCAAGATGGAGGAGCAGGCTATGCCAGGTAAGGCTGGTACCTGCTGGAGCATGTGAGATTTGGGTCAAAGAGTGGGCCAAGTGGAAGAACCTAGGAAACACCTGTGGGGTCATAGCTCCCACTGGTGAGCACATGGTCCAGGCCTGGGTGTTGGGCAGACTGGGCAGGGTAAGTGCAACTGTTGGCTAATGTGTGAGGTGGTTTTGGAGGGGGTGGCCCAGGCAGGGCTGAGCAAACCTTAGCTCATCAGCAAGAGCATAAACCAGGCTGGGGCATAGGCCATGCTAGGCTGGCTGTCACACCTCTCAGTTTGCATGAGCCAGGGACAGGAGCACGCTAAGCAGGACCAGGTTCCAGCACCTGCCAGTGAGTGGTGGTACTAGAAGCAGGCCCGGTCAGGCCAGGCTACAGCATCCAAAGGCAAAGGTCATGATAGGTGAGGGACTATGTCAAGCTGGTCAGAGCAACCAGTGGTATGTGCAAGAGCTATAGCTGGGAACAGACCTGGTTGGGGAGCTAAGGGGACACCCTGGCTTGATTATGGTTCCCACTGGTATGTTAGGGGGCTAGAATGGGAGCCACATTCTGGTCCTGATATGGCTGCAGTCTCCCTTGGCGTAAGTGTGAACTGGGGCTTGGTGAGCCAGACTGGGCTATACTCTAGCACACACTGGTGCTTGTGAGAACAAAGATAGTTGTAGGACAAGCTAGGCTAGGTTTTTGCCCCTACAGAGCCAGGACTGAGCTGTGTCTGCATGTGGACCAGGCTAGACTGGGCTGTAACACCCAACAACAATAACCAGAGTGGGTTGAAGGCCGGTCATGAAAGGCCATTGTTCGTGCTAGGTCAGGAGGTGAACTGAGTAAGGCTGGCCCACAGACCCACCAGTGTGTGCAAGATCTGGCACTGGGAGAGGGTCCAATGTAGGAGCTTGGGAAAACTTCTCTGTCAGGACACAGTCCATATAGGTGAATGTAAGAACCATGATAGGGAGCAGCCCAGAGGAGGCCAGGGAATGGTACCCAGCAGCATACATTTGGTGCAGGTCAGGGGCAAACCAGGCAGGGCCAGTTCACATCACCTCCTGGTGAATCCAAACACCAGAATGGAGTGTGGGTCCAGGTTCAGTTGCAAAACACACACTAGTACACATGAAGGCTAGGACTGGTTGCCAGCTGGGCTGGTCTAGGCTGAAGACCCCACCAGCATGAGTTGGAATTGGGGGTGGACTGGGCTAGGCCAGGCTACAGCACCCACTGGCAAAAGCTGAGGTAAGGTAGGCCCTGTCAGACTGGCCACAGCACCCAACCAGTACATATGAGACCAAGGGAGGAAAAAGGGCAAAGCTGGTACTCAGGCAGCATGGGGCTCCCATGCTGGATCACCATTCTCACCTGAGAGCGTGAGTTTGTATGAGGGTAAATCAGACCAGACAGAGCTACAACACTTGTCAGCCTCATGTGAGCTGGACCAGTGAAAAGCCAGGCTGGGTTGACTGTTCCTACTAGTGCAAGCATAAGTCAGAGCGGGTGTGGGTTGGTTGGGCTCATCAGTTGGCAGATGCTGGCATGAGGAGCTCATTCTGTCAAGCCAAACTTCAGAATCACCTAGAGAGTGCATGATCCAGGAGTAGGAATGGGCGCAGTAAGGAAACAGTGGGCACTTCTCTGTTGGGTTGCCACTCCATCTGGTGAGTATGAGAACCCAGCACTGGGGCAAGCATTGCTAGACAGAGCAGCACCTGCCAGCATGTATGTGGACTAGATAACGGGGCTGCTTGGACTGAACTAAGTTTCAGTGCCCACTGACGTGTCTGAGAGCTGAATGGGATGTGGAACAGGCAAAATCAGTCTGCATACATACTAGCAATCATGGAAACCAGGGCAGGGGGCAGGCCTAATGCAGATTTTGTGGGTTGCTCCAACTAGGCTGCAGGTCCCACTGGTTTGCATGAGGGCCAAGGTTGTGATGTGTAGGATTGGGTTTTGTGGAAGACGGGACTGGAAACAGAACTGACCCAGCAATTGGAACCACCAGTATATGCATAGGCTGATTGGGGCAACAGTCAGTGAGTGCCGGACCCTGTATTGGGAGGCACACACAAGAATCTGGGCTGGGATCACCTCAGATAAAGTTTCTTTAGGGATCCTCCCAATAGAACTGGTAGACTCAAAACCCCACCCATTGCAGGTTCCATGGTCTGACCATGAAGTGCATGTATCAAAGCTGAGCCTCCTCGGTGGCTTAAACAGAGCAGTTGACAGCATATCCAGTTGCACATAGAGAATATGGCAGTACATTGGAACCTTCAAATTGATCAACTAGCCCACTCAAGTGTTGGCAGTGAAAATCTGGACAAGTGGAGACACTAAGGTGAATCATGTCAGCCAGTGGATTCTGAAGAGATTTCATCATGCTTGAGATGGTGAGATTGGCAGCAATTCAGAACATGGGAACTATCAAAACCACTGAGCAGTGCTCTCAGAGCATGCCCCACATCGGGAACCCCGGGATGGTTGGGAGGCTGGTTAGGGCTTCTCCCTTTATCTCCCTCCTTCCCCAGATACAG